AGGAGGAGGAGGAGGAGGAGGAGGAGGAGGAGGAGGGAGGAAAAAGAAGAAAGAAGAAGAAAGAAATTAGCAAATGGAATAATTTCTTACCAGGATAAACACTCTGCCATCCTGACCTTGAATCAGGAATCTGAATGTGCTCCGGGCGGAGGCCAGCTCCCCTAGACGCTGGCCAACAATGCTCTGGACAAACTCAGACCTGTTGGGAGAGAGGGCAGTTTTTTCATCCTGTGCCTCCCATAATCACCTAACTTGCAGCAGAAACAAAAAATACTCCCAGGGCACCCACAGGCAGAGACCACATGTTTTTGTCTGCTGACCATTCCTTACCATCTTCCCTAATATGGATTTCAGGAAGTTGTAAAACCTGTTCTGTGGGTATTAATGTATTTTCCACCCCAAATCAAACAATTCCCCCTACTGAATTTAAAGACGGCCAGGCTGGGCACATCACTATTTCATCTGTTCTGTGACATACTGAACATGAATCACAGAGACACTGAAAAACGCAAGAAATCTCCTCCCAAGTAGAACAGGTTCAACCACAATATTGTTTTCAATAAATACTCATTAGAGTAAACTTCTGTTTGCAAATAAAAATGATTAGAAGAAACCTTAGTATAAATATTTAGTAGAATTTTATTATAAATATAGGAGTCATTATTTGTAACTGACCTCTGTTTAAAATTCTTAAACATGTTAACATAAAAATAGATGTAATTTTTCAAGCACTTATTGAGTTAGGCTACAATAACTCGCACATATAAGGATTACATTTCTATGAATACAGTTGTCTATATCAAAATAAAGAAATCCTACATCATTTACATATGTGGTTTAACTAGCAATCTTTCTCAAAGGCTTTTTTCTCCCACCTCTCTAGATACAAAAGAGTTAGGAATAAAAATGAGTAGCTAGTTATACCTACAGTTTCCCACATTTGAAGTTTTCTGAAATTACTTTTATTATCTTCAGTTGTGCAGAGCTCAGTGGTAAGTACCGCATCTTGATGGATGTCACGCCTCCCATCATCCCCCCACTCAAGTCAGGAAATGAAATCAATTTGCTATTTGTACCTTGGTATGACGGGAAAACTTCTCTCAGATGGCTGAATAATTATCTCGGTCATATAAAACTTGGTGGTTTCTAGAAACAGAAGAAATTTTAAATGTTCCCAATACGCCAATATTTTATTATGTGAAGATTAGCCTCAATTATGACATACCAAACTACTTTTCCTAAGTGAAAACTCAATATACTGGTCAAATAGTATTTAGCAAACATTTCCCCCAAACAATTTAGTTACAAAGACATGAAGGTAACTAGTAGAGGTTACTTCCAAGGCTATCAACCATAGGCGATTTGTTTAGAAAAGCTTGTAGATCCATAGAATCAGATTCTGCCCACAAGTGGAAGGCTATTAAAATTACCATACAATGGTCACCAAATCTGTTTTTCTGGTTACTTAAGTAACAACTATGTTGGATTGTTTAAAAATTTATTTTAAGTGCTTAATTTCATTAGAACAAAGGAAATACAAATCCAAATCAACTTTTTTGTGAGTGTGCTGGTCCTGAGGCTTGAATTCAGGGCCTGGGTGCTATCCCTGAGCTTCTTCTTGCTCAAGGCTAGCACACTGCCACTTGAACCACAACTCTACCACCAGCTTTTTTGGAGTAGTTTGTTGAAAATAGGGAATCTCACAGCCTTCCTGCCTGAGCTGGCTTTGAACTGGGATCCTCAGATCTCAGCCTCTTGAATAATTAAGATCACAGGTGGAAACCACCAGTGCAGTGGGCAGCTTATACCTGCAATCCTAGCTTCTCAGGAGGCTGAGATCTGAGGACTATGTTTAGAAGTCAGGAACAGAAAATCTGTGATACTCTTATCTCCAGTTAACCAGCCAGAAGCTGGAAGTAGAAGTACGGCTCAAGTCATAAGTGCCAGCCGTAACCATTGGATAGGCTTGCAAAAACAGATAGACATAATCACATACAGCGTTTGGAACTGTAAATGGTAAGGTTTCTAGGCAATCACCTGGCAAAGCATTAATGTTGTATACATATTTTGATACTTTAAATTCTGAATAATTTATCTTGAATACTCATAAAACATAGACAGAATGCCTATAAATATGGTCATAACATTAGTAGAAAAATACTCAAAACAGATTAAAAAATTGAAGCTGGATTAAATAATGAGGTATTTCAACAACAGAATACCATGCATGTTTGACAGTTTAGAAAGGCCAAATTAAAACCATAAACAATGAAAATGGATTATCTTACAAATGATGTTACCAAATAATTATTTAATAAGCCAGGTAGATTTTTTTCAAGTTCCTCAATATAATATACAAAAAGGACAAAAAATAAAATCAGGATAGTAGGGGAAAAACAAAGGAGGGGGGTAACAATTCTTGATAGCAAATATCCTCATTATGTTACTCATGTAACTGTAACCCCTCTGTATAGTATCTTTACAATAAAAAATATTTGTAAAAAATATAATAAATAAAAAGCTTAATACATGACTATGTAGAAATGTACTTAGTTGTCCTTTTTTTTTTTTTTTTGTCGGTCCTGGGGCTTGAACTCTGAGCCTGGGCACTGTCCCTCAGCTCTTCAGCTCAAGGCGAGCACTCTACCATTTGAGCTACAGCGCCACTTCCAGTTTTCTGGGGGTTTATTGAACATAAAGAGTTTCCTTCCCCAGGCTGGCTTTGAAATTCGATCCTCAGCTCTCAACCTCCTGAGTAGCTAGGATTACAGGAGTGAGCTACTGGTGCCCAGCCCTTATTTGTCCTTTAAGTTCTGCCAATTTTTGCTATTTTGAAGTGACATCAGTAGATGTAAAATTGAACCTGTTAACATTACAAAATGACCTTTTGATGTCACATGTTGTTAATCTATAATTTAATTCTATAATTTCAATCCCATTTGAACTATGGTGGTTTTTATACAATTAATATTTACTTGAAATCATCCACATGGTCCTACTTGATCAGTCTTTCATGTTTCTTGAACTTTCTGGGGTCATTTTCTTCTACTTGAGTACAAGTGGAATTTCTCTTAATAAGAAAGCAGAGTGAATTATTACAGTTATTTGCTAGAACATACATTTATCTCTGCCTCTCTGGAGGATATTTTCAGTGGGGATGAAGAGCTAGTGCTAACAGTTCTTTCTTTGTTCCCAGAGGCAGTATCATCATACTGTCTTCACATTTCCATTACCACTGCTCCTGTGAAAGGGACTGGTGGGGGTTTTTTTGTTGTTTTTTTTTTTCCTAGAATGCTATGAAGGCTTTCCCTTGCTTTTCATCCTGCAGTTCTACATTGACATGTCTAGGTACGGCTTGCTTTGAATTTGTCTTGCTTGGGTTCAATGAACTGGAATTCATTGTGCCTCTTGGATCTGTACTGAAGTGTTGTTGTGCATTATGTTTATAAAATTCTCAACAACTTCTTGTTCACATACTGCCCACTCCATTCTTTTTTCTTATTTTCTTTTTGGAAGTCTAATTTAAAAAATGTATGTCAGATGGTTTCATTCTACATTCTATATTCCATGTTTTTCATTTTATCTGTATTTGTTATCTTTTTGTCTCTGGGCTGCATTAAAGATTTCTCAATTTCTTCCCTTAGTGAATTCTTTCAGGCTGTATCTAATCAGTTATCAACCACTCTCTGGATGTATCTTTATTCCAATGATAATAAGGGACTCTTCTAGAAATTCTTTTGCGACTCTTTTCCCAATATACCATTATAGTTTTCTTTTTTGTTCAGTCATCTTCAGATCTGGCTTTTGCACTGTTAAATATACTGAGCATGGTTGTTTTACAGTTTATGCGTGACAATTCTGTTTCCACTGCCTGCCTTCTGTTAGCGCTTGTGAACAATGTCATTAGGGTTTGAATAGGCAGTGTCCCTCCCAGGCTCATTGTGGAAGAGGACTTGGGCCCTAGCTGGTGGCATTATTACAGAGGATTCTAGAAACATTAGGAAGTGGGGCCTGGCTGAAGTGGGTGGTGGCCTTTGGGAGTGGTATCATGTCCCCCTTTCCCAGGAGAAGGACCCGCCTCTCATGGAGCACCAGGGAAGGAGTTTGGCATTATTACTAGTTAAGCATCTTTAGAGGACCATTAAAGAATGCTAACGCACTATTAGTGATAACTCTTTATTGAACTATCCTTACTTTTTATTTTCCCTCTCTCTCTTAAGCCTACTGAGATTTGGGAGATGGAGAGATTCACCTCCAGGAGGCCGGCAGTAGTTAAGCCTCTCCTCACGCTCTCACCTGGCTTTTTTTACTCAAGGCTGGTGCCCAACCACTTGAGCCACCCCTCCACTTCCAGAATTTTGCTAGTTAACTGGAGATTAGAGTCTTTTATATGTCTGCTCAGGCTGGCTTCAAACTGCAGTCCTCAGATCTCAACCTCCTTGAGTAGATATGATTACAGGCATGAGCCACCAGTGCCCAGACTCGTAAGAGGCTTCTTTTTAGTCTCAAAAAATGACACTGAACTCATATCCTGACATATGGAATTGTAACCTCTTTGCAACTACTTAATAATAAAAATCTAAAAGAACACTGAGACAACCATGCTTTACAACTCATTCAGAGCATGCAACCTGTCAGATTCTGATGGTTTAAAACCAAAAAACAAAAAAACAAAAAAAACCCACCACTGCCTTAAGTACAGCGTTTCATTTAAAGTCTCTTTAATTAATTATATTAAAAACAATTACTCATTACCCACTAAGCAAACACAGCATGTTGTAGCACTCTAAACATTTTAAACCGTATCTTTAAACAGCATTTTAATTATTAGGATTTTCATTATTATAAAAGCAGTATGGCATACACTTCACAGAAAGGATGATTAACACCATTAGGAAAAAGAGTAAGGAACCAAATACAAAACTCAGAATATGTTTTTCTTCCATTTCAACAAGTCCTCTCCTACCTCCAGTCCCAAAGTACAGCAAGTGGTGAACGATAGCCCAGAAAAGCAGGTTTTCTACCTGTGGGCACCCAATTCTTCTGACTGAAGAGTTGTACTAAGAGAAAAAACTTGCAGATTCTTTAAGATGGACTCAAGTATAAATTTTATGCTATTGCTTTTCACTAGAAAGAGAATATAAAACACTGGAAATGACCTGACTTCTCACTGCTTAAAACTCTCTACTCTGAGCCTACTTCCTATACTGGTGGCTCACCCCTGTAATCCTAGCTGTTCAAGAGGCTGAGATCTGAGGATCTGGGTTTGAAGCCTGCCTGGGGAAGGAAAGTCCATGAGACTTATCTCCAATTAGCCATTTAAAAACTGGAAGTGGAACTGTGGCTCAAAGTGGTAGGGTGCTAACCCTACCTGAAAGTTCAGGGACAGTGCTCAGGTCCTGAGTTCAAATCCCACAATGGAAGAAAAAACAAACCCTAAGTACTCTTTCATTAAAAAGGTCAAAATAGACAAACTTTTAAATATTGTATGAGGCTAATAGATTTCTATCTCTAAAAGCACTGATTCTATGAAACATATTAATATTACACCCTTCCTATACTACTAAAATCTCATTCTGGCTTTAGAATAGGAAGGAAATCCTTTTAGCTTTTTGTTATAAAATTGTTCTTACCTGGTGACATAGTCTCTCCCAGCGTTACCTTGCAACGCTTACAAATTACTTTGGTATTTGCTTTTGGGTCCTGTAGAACAGAAAAAAAAATGTCATTTAAATGTCATTCAGCTTTTCTTAAAAGGAATATATAATTTTAACATAGTCTCCAGAGGATACATTGAACTTTACATTTCATTCTGCCCTCTACTAAATACTGGGAATGCAATTAGTTTTGCATATATAATTCACATGCACAGAAATCATTTCTTTTTTAGGGAGAATAATGCAGATTGGCTTTTCCAAACCTAGATACTTTTGATAATCCAAATGTTTCCAAATAATTCAAACAAGAAGCAGTATGCAATGCTCAAGTACTTTCAAATAGCCTTATAATTTGAAACTGGTTTGTATGTACAGAACACACGAGAATATGACCTGGAGAATATGAACTGGAGCTCATATTATTCTGATTCCCTGGCCAGTGTTACTTACATAAAAGTAACCAATAACTCACAGCCAGTCATAATTCAGAAGTTAAAAATATCAAACTTGTTCATGTAAATCTATTTCTTTCCATTTAAGATATGCACTGGAAATGGAAAGTTGGGTCATGTTGTGAACAAATTCCTCAAACATTCTTAGGCTTCAAAACTTAGGGAAAGGTAGCTGCTTCCCAGCTCAGGAGGGTGGAGCTGGGCTTTGTGGAGGAGGAGGTGGGCTTTGTGGAGGAGGCTTTGTCAGCCTGCAGGGCTGCTCCCCAGCAAGGTCAGGGGGCAGCCAGGGTGCTAGGCATGGCAGGATAGCCAGAACCCCAAGCTCTGTCCTGTCCCCGGCCGGCTGCTGGCTTTTTTCATAGCAGCCACCTTCTGAGACCCCTTCCTCAGCAGCAAGAGAATTTCTGCATCTCCAACTTAAGTCTGGAGCTCATCTCTGCAGGGTCTGGGCTGTCTGGGTCCTAAAACATGTTCAAGAGGCCGCCAGGCACATTCCTACAGTCAGGGGTATCCACACGAGGCTGGAGACTAAGACGTAAGCAGGCTTGTACACAGCTGGATAACTGGGACCATACAGTTCCAGACCATAACATCCTTTTTCCAGAATAGGAAATTGTAATAGGAACAGAAGATGAGATTGTGCCTGAAGCTGTGGAGAAGGAACATGTCTGAGATTATCGGGAGTATGCGTGAAGCACTTGAGGAAGAAACAGATTCTATGGCAAAGCATGAATCTAGGGAAAAATCATTTTTCCGAAGTTTACAACTCAGATAGACCTTGAACCAGAGCAGATTCTATGGCACAGGTATTGATTGAGCTTGTCTGGATTTCTGGTGAAAATATACCACAAGAAAAGGATATTCCAAATTGCCCCTGCGGTGCCAAAACAATATTTGAATTCCAGGTCAAGCCACAGCTGCTGAACGGCCTGAAGGCAGAGACAGAGGAAGAGCACTGACTGGGGTCTCCTGGCTGTGTTCACCTGTACTGAGAACTTGGCCCGGGCACTGGCTACACAGAGGGATTTGTGTGGGAGCAGGACATAACAGACACACCGTGAAGATAAGCCTTATGTCTTCTCACCTCCCAATTCCAGCTCAAGGACTTTTATCTCTTGTTCCAGAGATGGAGCCACAAAAATGCTACTCGAGGCATTATTTACAACATTGTTCTATGTGTTAGTACAAGACTGCTCAGTGACAGGGAATTAAAAGTAAGTTTTAAAGTCGGTTTCCATGTCCACAGTGGAAGGAAACTGTTATCATGGACTACACAGACACCAAATAATGTCTCAATGAACATCAGGATATCATTATGGATGGTACTCATGGTATGGCGTTTTCATTTTTTAAACATATTCACCTATGTATATGGTCATAGAAATAAATCTAGAAAGATACACAAAGTAAACTGGTTACCTGTGAATGGTAGGACCAAGTGACATGGTCTTTTTACTTACATGTACATATTTTTCTATAATAAAAATGAGCCATGGGGCTGGGAAGGTGGCTCAGTGGTAGAGCACTTGCCTTGCATGCATGAGGCCCTGGGTTCGTTTCCTCAGCACCACATAAGCAAAAAGGAAAAAGCCGGAAGTGGCATTGTAGCTCAAGTGGTAGAGCGCTAGCCTTGAGCTCAAGAGCTGAGGGACAGCGCCCAGGCCCAGAGTTCAGGCCCCACGACCAGACCCAAAAACAAAAAAACCCAAAAACACAAAAACAAAAACCAAATTAGCTACATGCCCAATAAACTGAAAAGAAAAAGAAAAACAGGAAAAAAATGACTAATAGGTAAACAATGGCGGCTCTTTCTCACGTCCATGGTAATGAGTTTGTTAAAGCCATGTAATATTCTATAACCCAAGACATACCTCGACATCAGCAAGCAGGAGGAATTGAGCGGGGGAGACTAGTGGGAGGGGCTGGCCTAACAAGGTGTGTGAAAATGGTCAAAATAGATCTATGAAAGCCAAACAGTGAAACCTGGTGAAATTGGGTAAGCCGGTAAGGGAAAAGAGTGAAAGAAGGGGCGAGAGCGATTGGAGTATAAACATGTGGAAACGTAACAAGGAACCCCTCATATCACTGACATAACCTAATTAATAATAAAAATGATAGCAATAATAAAGGGTCAGATGCCAGTGGCTCACATTCATAATCCTAGTTAATCAAGAGAATGAAATTTGGAGGATCAGAGTTTGAGGCCAGCTAGAGAAGAAAATTTTGCTATAAAATAATTAGAAAAAAGAAAAAAAAAAGCAGAGTTGGAGACATGGGCAAAGTCCTGGGTTCAAACCCTAGTACTGCCCAAAAATGAGGAGAGGGAAACCAGTGGAAAAGGAGTTCTATAACCCTGGACACTTGAAGGAAAAAATGGCAGAAAAAAAGACAGAGCAAAGTTAGGAAGGTAATGTCTTTCTGGTGTGGTTACCACATATATTCGTCTACGGAAAAAGTTTTAACCGTTCAGTGCAAGTTCAAGTACTTCCCTTGGTGCTGACAAACTATTTGGGAAAAGGTTACATATGAAGCAAACTGAATTCCATTAACAAGAAGCCGCTAATAATGGCCAGAGGTGATGTTTGAATATAGAACTCTCATATTCTACAGCTTGTGCTAAGGGTTTTACAAATTACAGGTTCCGTAATGATGGAGAAACAATTCACAGAATAAATCCACTGGGTGATAGCCTACATTAATATATATATATACATATATATACACACACACACACACACATATATAATAAAATATCTGGCCAATTGCTTCAAGAAACTTTTGTGTTGTGTTTGTGTATGATCAGATCTTCATGTAAAAATTTCATTTTTTACTAAAGATATCATAGTCAAAAGCAACTCCACAACTTATGTTGGGGTCTTCTATGACTCACTCTTTCTTTTTTTGGGGGGCAGTCTGGTCGTGGGGCCTGAACTCTGGGCCTGGGTGCTGTCCCTCAGCTCTTCAGCTCAAGGCTAGTGTTCTACCCCTTGAGCCACAGCGCCACTTCCGGCTTTTTTCTTTTTGCTTATGTGGTGCTGAGGAATCAAACCCAGGGCCTCAGGTATGCAAGGCAAGTGCTCTACCACTGAGCCACCTTCCCAGCCCCTGACTCACTCTTTCGTTCCCATTTTTACTAGCATGTATTATCTGAACAGAAAGGGGAGAGGGTTTCACTGAGCTGTTTCCATGCCTTGAAGACTCACTCTTTCATCCAGCCTCAAACTCTTACTATCAGTAAAAATGCAGAAAAGCATCCTCATGTCTCTTCCTCACATAAGATCTCTGGAAGAAATCTCCAGTCAGATAAAAACCCCACCCTATTTTCCCTTGTGTAGCTGCAGGATTTCTGTCATCTTTCTATTGATAGGTCTGTTCATACCTGGCCCAGTCTCTTACCCAGCACATGCTTGGTGCAGTCCACACACCACGCCATCTCTGGCTGCTGCACTGATACTCTAGTACCTATCACATGCCCATAGCAGGCAGCAGGCAGCAAGCCTGGGGTCTCCCTAGGTATCCCAGGCTGACCCTGAACTTGACCTCTACCTCCTAGACTCCGTCTCTTTCAACCTCTCCAGTGCAGGGCACAAGCTACCATGCCTTGCTCATACTCTCTTTTACTAAAGTTGTTTTATTATCTTTAAGTAGTTGTACAGAGGAGGTGGTTTACAATAAAACAGTCTATGAATACAATGCATCTTGATCAGTGTCACCCCCTTCAATATCCTCACCCCCGCCTTCAATCCACCCTTTCCCTACTTCTCTTAACTTTGTGGTATATACAATAAATTATTGACTGCAATCTACCCCCATCACCCTCTTCATTTCTCTGCCTTTCTCCACTTGGCCCCACGTACCCTCCTGCAAATACACATTTCCTGGTATGATTTTGTTGGACTTTGAACTCATCTTTCTAAAAGATTATACTGTTTGAGCTCTCCAGAGAGCCTATTACACTTCAGTTAATTCATTTGTAAACACTTGCATACTGCCCAACATGATTACCTATACACTTATAGGCACATGTTAGCTACCACAAATGAAGGAAACAATGCAATCTTTGTGTCTCTGTGTCTGGCTTACGTCACTTAAATGTAATTTTTTTCCAAGTCTTTCCATTTCCTTACAAATGGTTCAGTATCATTCTAGCAGATGAGTAAAATTCCACTGTGTATATATACCACAATTTTCTGATCCATTAGTCTACTGAGAGGCATCTGGAAAGATTCTATTCAGTTATGGTGAATAATGAACGTGGTTGTGCTGGTTTGTATTCTTTTGGGTAAATGCCCAGGTGTGGGATTTCTGGGTTATAGGGTAGTTCTACGTTTAATTTTTTTTTTTAAAGTAACCTCCATATGGATTTCCAGAGTGGTTGAACAAGCTTATATTCCCACCAACTGTATTAGAGTTCCCTTTTAACTGCATCCCATAAACATTTGTTGTTTGTTTGATAGGTGCCATTCTAACTGGGGTGAGGTGAAACAGACAAGGACCTAATATCCAGAATATACTTAGAGCTCAAAAAAATTAAATTCTCAAAAATGGAACCTTCAAAGAAACAACAACTAAATTAATAAATGACTTAAAGACAGACTTCGTAGTAGTCACAGACATGGCCAACAGACTCGTGAAGAAATGCTCAACATCTCTGGCCATAGAGGAAATGCAAATCAAAACATTCCTGAGATTGCACCTTGGTCCTGTTTCTAGGACTTAAATAGAATTATGAATCTTGTAAAAGGATGAGGTGCATCTTTATCATCCTGTTATAACATGCACACTTTTTAGTATCTTGGTAGGCACACGCACACACACACACACACACACACATCATACAAGAGATAGCAAACAAGTCACCAAACTAGAGAATTCTTTAGCAGACATCTTTTGAAAACAAAAAATACAAACTGCCACTAGAGGCACAAGTAAAACACTCCAAATTCTACGAGGAATGAAGATGAATGAGACAGTGCCAGGTTCTCTCTGTGCTGCTTTTAAAATCAGATCTTTTTAATTAACACACTTTAGCACATTAATTTTACTTAAAGAGCAGCTCTGCTTTGTAATGCATTTTTCTTGACCTGAGCTGCAAGGAAGTAATAAAAGCAAGTTGTATAATGAAGCCCCCTACCAGTATGGGAACTAGGAGCAGACCTCAAAGATAGACATTGTTGGGAACTAATTAAATCAATATATCTAGGACCTGCCAGTGCTTCTCAAGAGATGAGGAATCCTCTCCTGTCCTTTCTTTTTCTTTTCCTTTGTGTTGTTTCAATTTTTAAGGACACCTGATGTCTCTCTCTCTCACACACACACACACACACACACACACTTCCCAAGAGATACCATTATGAAGCTGGGTCACCAAGTGACATTTCAGACTCCTGCTAGATGGCTAGACTAGGTGATAGGAGAAATTGGTTTTCAATAGCACGGAAGAGCAGAGGAGCCTCTGGAGCCAACAGGGCAGTGGTTAGGCAGTCTCTCCGAATTTCTGTTGCTATTTTGGTCTCAGACAGACTCTTTCAACTGCTACAACACGCAATTAAAGTACAACTTCCAGCTAGACCAATGTGAAAACAATCTTGTCAAACCACCTCTCCTGATAGCCATTTCCCACAGTCTCCTTGATAGACAAGACTACAATGTCTAAATAGGAAAGATCTTCCTTTCGAATAAGAAATAAAAGACTGCTGCTTACAGGGTACAGTTCTTAAGAATGGCCACGTATAACTGATAAAGTTCTTTGAGTGAAGATTATTTCTAAACAAGGAGACACAGCTTCCCTTACTCAATCTTTCTCCTTTACACCATCAGAATGTGTTGTTAAATGGCTCATATCTTTATTCTTAGCTACTCAGGAGGCTGAGATGTGAGGATTGGGGTCTGAAGTCAGCCCAGATGAAAAAGTCCAAGAGACCCTTATCTCCAATTAATCAGCAAAAAGCCACAAGTAGAGGTGTGTCTCAAATGGTACACCTGGAAGCTCAGTGCCGTTTCTACCCTCTTTGTCTGTTCCCTTGGCAGTATCTGCCAGTGTGTATATGTGCACGAGTGCATGCGTGTATGTGTGTGACAATCCTGGGCCTTGAACTCAAGGGCTGGGTGCCATCCTTGAGCTTTTTTGCTGAAGACTGGTGTTCTACCACTGGAGCCACCCCTCTACTTCTGGCTTTTTTTGTGTGTGGTTCATTGGAGATAAGAGTCTCATGAACTTTGCTGCCTAGGATGGCTTTGAACTGCAATCCTCAGTTCTCAGCCTCCTAAGTAGCTAGGATTATTGGCCCAAGCTACTGGTACCTGGCAGCATCTTTCTTTTATTTTATTTTATTGTTATTGTAAATATACAGAGGGTTACAGGTACATGAATCCGGTAATGAGTGCAATTCTTTTTGAATGACATCTCCCCTTTCCTCGCTCTCTCCCATCCACACCCATAAGATATACAATTCATTTTCCACAATGTCTAGTAGGTACCACTATTGTATTTGTTCACCCTTTGTTCCACCTTAGAACACTGAACTCTAGACTACAGGCAGGCACAGAACACCTGGTCCTAACTGTAAAGTGAGCACCCTAAGTAGAAGAGCATGTTCTCTTAGAGTTTTGAGGCTGGCACGCACACAGTTTTGAGGGAGATTTAGAACCATGTGGGCAGCACAGGGAAGGACTGCCATGCGGGGCAGGTGCCACTTCCTCCTCTGGGGACATCTTTAAGGGTCCATAAACACTGGAGCAGAGCCCCACAGGGACAGACGCCCATCCCCTTCAGAGGAGGCAGGTGTGACAAAACCAAGATGCCAAAACAGCCAAGAAGCCAACAGGACTGTCAAAGAGGAACCCTGTAAGCCAAGCCACTGACTTCGGGGACTCACTCCTTGCTCTCTTACATAGAGAACTCCCTGATCCCCTCCCTGGCCCTTTCCCTCTCAGCCCTCCTCTGGGAAGCAGAAAACTTGGGTCTATGGGGAAGTACCAATCAATATTAAAATAATTCCAGAAACAAAAAGGAGGGCATATAATCTACACGGCCTCAGATTTTACCTGACACGGTTGGCTTCTTAAGTTCACCAAATAGAAGGTATCTCCAACGAAGCAGTCACCGTGTCCTGGGTGAAGAGACTTCTGGGCGAACGGGTCCGGGTGGCAGCACCACTCCTCGACCAGGGCTGCCCAGTTGGCGCTGGGCAGTGGGAGCACCCTGAGCAGCCTTCTGCTTAGAAAGAGAGAAGATGTGGTTTCTACCAGGCAAAATGGAACAGCTTCTGAAGTAAATCTTATGTGCAAGATGGAAGGAGCTCTAACACGCTCTTGAGGTTAACTTCTCTCAATAACGAAAGGAGTATGTGCTCACATTGTAAGTTCAAAATCAAGAGGTGCAACCCAGACAAAATCATCCTGACCTCCAAAGAAAAGTGAATTTGCCACAGGATGGATGGCATGTTTCTTATCCTTCTTTCAAGAGGAACATTTATACATGCATGCACACGAAGTCTGAGGTCAGAGGATACATGCATACTGTATTTCGTGTGTTTATCTAGTTACACCATGACTGCCAATATTCCATTAATGACTACATTGTCTACTTCCTAGCTCTCTAGATCATTCCCCCATTGTTAGATATTTACAGGTAGACTGCTATGAGGAACAGAAAATGGAGATACAAAGTTTGCACACATCTGATTATTGCTTGGGAAAAACAATCTTGTGTGAAATTCTAAGCACAAGTAATATGAATCTTTTTAAGCCCAACACCCATTTAGTAGACTTCTTTGCAAAAACACTGCACTAATCTGTAATTCTTCCACTTACCCTTTTCTTAATTAAATCCTATCACTTTTCCATCTATATACAAGTTATGTATAAAAACATTCTCAATTAGCCATGTTTAAATTACTAGTGAAATTGCATTAGTGTATTTATTGACTACCATGACATTTCTGTGAATTGTGGCCAATGACTAGTTTCCAATGAAGCATTAATATATTATTATTAATTTGCAAAAGTATATGCTATATTAAATTATCCATCCTACTACCATTTGTGATTTTTAAAAAAACTTTCCAGGATTATTGATTTAGGTGTTTTTTTGAGGGGGAAGAAGTACAAGTTTTACACCTAGGGCTGTAGGCCAGCCTGGCTTGCTCATTCATCTGGTATTCTATCATTTGAGCCACGCCTCCAAATCCGTTTTTTTGTCATCTTGTTATTTTGGAGATGAAGTTTTGAGAACTTTGCTGTCTAGGATGGCCTCAAATTGTGACACTCTGGATCTCAACTTCCTGAGTAGCTAAAATTACAGGCATGAGCCACCAATGCTTGGCTGGTTCTGGTGTTTTAAAGTTCGGATTGCCTAACACTTTCTTCTGTAAATTTTTTTCTATGATTCTATTTTAATGAGCTTTTCACATTAGTACAACTTTAGGTTTTACAGAAAGTTATCAGGACAGGTTGAATGTTTCCTACTTCTGTCTAACCTAACTTTCTCTAACAGCAGTATCTTATATAATCACAGTGATTTGCCAGAACTACAGCCTTTACACTTTACCAGTCTTTTTCCCTCAACAAAGTCCTGTTTCTCCATGATGACATATCAGTCACACTCTCTCTGTCAGTATCGTTCCAGATGCTGAGCTACCTGAAGAGTACTGGTCAGGGACTCTACTCAACCCCTTTCATTCTGGGATAAGCTGATAGGATCTCAGGACCTTGGGCAGCAATCTGAGGTGAGGTGAGGTGCTCACCATTTCACAGGTCCCTTGTTTAAACACGACTGACCACTGGGGATAGGAGTCTTGACTCCTGTGCCAGTGATACCTCCTGCTTCTACTACTGAAACACTAGTAAACAAGGTATATTAGAAGTCTTGGTTTAAAATGTGATTGTATCATTTCACAGCAAATGTGATTTTCTATTTCTCTTTTTAACAATTCCTCGATGTTAACCATTTTTCCTTGGTTCACGGACAGACTGTGACTATCACAAGAGGTCTCATAACAAAGAGGGAACCAACTAATTAATAATTCCAGATGGCGCAAGTGAAGAACAAGAAAGGCTGAGTCTAGTGCACTATACAGACCAGGAAAAGCTTGCCCCACTGCCATCTGCCAGGTGGCTGGGCACACAGGACACTGACAAGTGGCTCTTTCCTCGTGTTTCCTCATGTCTGTTGTGAACCAGGCATTATGATGGCCTAAGACATGAAACATACAGTCTCTTTAGATCCTCAGATTTTAGTAGAGAATACACACTTATAAGCAAATGACAAAACCACATGTAAGAGAATGTTCCTCATTTGTTAGGAAATGGAAAGACTTGGAAAAAACTATATTAAGTGACGTAAGCCAAGCCCAAAGAAACATAGGTCCCATGGTTTCCCTTATTTGCAATATCTAGTATATGTCTGAGTCAAGCAGAAAAGATCAGTTAAGTTGATGTTAGGGAAATGAACTCTAAGATATGTATTCAAATGTTTTTTTTCTTTCATGCGATTTTTTCTAACACATTTATAAGATTATTTCTTTGTTGCTTTGTATGTCCCTCCCCCACAGTATAACCCCTGCTTTCACTGTATTTGATGTTGTAATAATTTGTGGAGGGGAAGGGAAAAAACAAATCATTTAAATAGGGATACAGGTGGACTCATTGCAACAATGAGACATACAGTCGTTACGTTGAAAACGAACTTTACAACTTTGGTGGTGGGGGGGGAGGGTTGGGAGGGGGTGTGGGGGGAGGAGGGGATTTGAGGAGGCTACAATGCTTGATAAGAAATGTATTCATTATCTTGCCCATGTAATTGTAACCCCTCTGTACAGTATTTTCACAATAAAAAATAATAATAAAAAAAGAGAATGTTCCTCATAAACCTGGTGCTGGTGGCTCACGCCTATAATCCCAGCTACTCAGGAGGCTGAGATCTGAAGATCTCAGTTCTAAGACAGCTAAGGCAGACAAAGCCAAAAGACTCTTCTCTCCAATTAAGCAGCAAGAAGCCAGAAGTGGAGATGTGGTTCAAGTGGTAGAGTGCCTGCCAGCTTTAAGCAGAATGCATTAACAAAGAGTGTGAGGCCTTGAGTTCAAGCCCCAGTACACACGCGCATGTGCGTGCACAATGCTCATAGCAGAAGTGAGATTCTAAACTCAGTAGGTACAGGGGTTAAATACATATGATAACATGAGCCCTTTTCTCCAATCCCTATATGCAACACAAGGCCTGTATTTTGTTTTCAGGGACTTGGGATAGCCTGAATTCTTACAGAACCTACTTCTCTAAATTGTGAGCAAGATCAAACACACAAGTGTGAGGACATGAGGTTATATATGAACTTCAGAAAGCATCTGTGCTTAACTTTATAGGAAAAAAAAAAGGGAATTCTCTAAGCAGCAGGGAGATTTCAGGGCACCCTGGAAGAAAAAAATATGAAGACAGGCTCTGTGTTTATCTCACAACTCAGTTCCTACTCAGTGACACGGCTCCTGAGTTCTTTGTTGAAGGAGTAAACGAGCACATTCTAATGACAACAGCCTGTAGGTCCCTCCCTAGCTGGGATGAAGGGTTGACCACCTTTTCCTCTTGCTGCTTGAGAATCTGACCTTTGCTTTCACCGCCTAGCTCTGTTACCCTGGAAACCAGGTAAGATCCTGAGCATCAAATATATTGCTAGGCAACATGGCTTACAGTAAAAAAGGATCCCTGATTGGTAAATTGTATGTGGACTGGAAAGAACTATGAATGAGCTGTAAACATCTGAGGAAGAAGACAGGCTTTCAGCTTCCCTCAATGGAGCCTTTGTGGGAAACCCTAGAAATGCTCACTGCCAAAGAATCATTAGGAAGAGTGCAGACTAAAGGAGCCTCTGTGGGTCTTGTGTTTACACCTGGAACTGCTTATGTGGACAAACATGGGTCCACTCACTGGTCAGTGTGTGAGCTGCCACTGGCATGAACTTCAGCAGAGCCCTACAAAAGGCGTGTGAATGCCATGCTGCTCACAGGCCATCACGAGGCGAGGCCTGTGGTGTCCCTGAGAGTGTGCATGCACCAACAGGCTCACCCGTTACACAAGAGCCAGTGCCTCACACCTGAAATCCCAGCTACTAGGGAGATCTGAGGATCCAAGTTCAAAGCAGCCCAGGCAGGAAAGTCTATGAGACTCTTATCTCCAATGAACCAGCAAAACGCCAGAAAAGGAGGTATGGCTTAAGTGGTAGAGCACCAGCCTTGAGCAGAAAACTTGGGGACAGCACCTATGCCTTATGCCTTGGGTAAAAGTTTCTCTTCTCTGGTACACCATACACCCCGCCCCTTATACACACCCTCACACCTTTAATGCTCACACCTTCATGAGATTAAGAATTACCATTTCCCAGCTGCACAGGCTCAGTAGTGCTACCTAATCCATACAAGGTTAGGGAATGAGAGGTGATCAGAGATGCCAGGCCAACTTCCAGGTCTCCCTGCTCCAAGACTCAGCTCTTCCCTCTGGAATCCTGTTCCTCCTCCCCTGGCAGCGCAAAAGAGCAGTAGTGGAGGTGGGGCAGAGGGGGGAAGTGGGGTGGAAGGGAGAGGTGGCCCAGTGGCTTGGGGGTCACATATCAGCCAGGGGATGGACGTGGAGCTCCTGAGAGGTAGAAAGCCCTGGAGGATTTTAAGCAGGGAAATGACAGGTCAGATTTCAGTGGTTACTAACAAGAGAAGAGGGCAAGTTTAGAGTAAAAGGCAGGCCTAAGTGGGCTCCTGGATCCTCCCAACCATTAAGATTCTGTCTCCTAACATTTTGCATGGAGAACCAATAAACAGATCTTCAACAGTATGCAAAAGAGAGCAGTGCTAAAATCCCATGTGAGATCAAAGAGAAGAAAGGGCTTTCACAGAGCCCTGGGACCCAAGGAACATAACACAAAATATGATATTTCAGACTTGATCTGACCGTGGCACAATGAAAGCCATAATGCATACTTAACCATCTACATTCGACATCAGGAGCCAGAAAGTGCCAAATTCCAACAGCACTGCAAAGATAAAAGGAGTTTTACAGCAGAAATTTTTGTGATGTTTGGAAAAAGCACACAAAACCTTTAAGAACAAAAGGTATGTGTTAATCACAGCACCGAGAGTCTATCTACCTAAAACCTGACACATGGCCTTTGATACGATCTGCTTCTCATGGGAACTTTCAAAATAAAATGGATGCCATTTTTTTCCTCAAGG